CCCCGGCTCAGCCAGATGGCTGCGGGAAGCACCGCCCCGAATGCCGAAGGTAATTAATGCGAGCCGGGACCGCCCCCGCCGCGCCCCGCCTCGCCCCGCCCGCCTCGGCTCTGCTCTGCTCGGCCGCCCCCCGCCGACCCGGCCAGGCTCTCCCTCGCCCGTCCGCCGGGACACCCCCGCCGAGGGGCTCGGCGGAGACATCCCCCCTCCAACCACGGAGCTGGAAACAAAAGCCAAGGTCGGTGGGTCCGGACCGGGCAGGACCCCGCCGCCCTGCCCCCGGCTCCTCCGCACCCCACCGTTCCCAGCCGCTCCGGTTTGGCGGAGCCGGGCTTCCCCCGCCTGGACCTCCCCGGGCAGGGGAGAGCATCTCCCACCGCCCAGCCCCAGGGTGCCGTCTCGTTTTGCACAGCCCTCCCCTCCTGCCACAAAGGGGAGCAGGCGTGGGTTCCCCGGTGCGTTGGCTGAACCGGAAGCAGTATCCGTGCCAGGATCTGCATTTCTTTCATCATAAAAACTGGAGAGCGCTGGACGCCTTCCCAGCTCGCTTCTTCCCCCTCTCCCATTTATCTTCAGTAAGCATCTGGACCTTAACACCTGAGCACGCCACGGTTGGCAGCATTTGTTCTCCCGGCGACCCCGTAAAATAGACCGATATACTGCTACCCCAGTTGGCAGACGGGATCTGAGGCGCTATGATTGATTTTATTCTTTTTCTCCCCCCCAACGTTGCACCCACGGAAACCCACAGACAGGGCTGAGCCCAGAACTGCCAACCCCTTGCTTAGACAAGAGCACTGTGCCGACGCTCTGGCGTTCATGATGCGGAGATAAAACCAGCTCAGGCAAGTTGCCCTTCTCATCTATCTCTTTTTGACACCTGGTACTCAAAGAGACTCCCTGGGCTTTAGCAGCAGCAAAGCCAAATTACAGCGCAGTAACACCTTGCATCCCCATGTGTTCTCCTTTGCATGAATATGCCCAGTAATAATTTACACCAAAAAAAAAAAAAAAGAGAAAATCAAAAAAGAAAAAGCCTAGTGGGTTTGTTTCATGAGTTTCTGCTCCTGCGCTGCTCTCCAGGCGGCCCGTGCTGACCCACGGTGCTTTTCAGTTTCCCAGTTTCACTCACTGCAAGCTGACCTCTGGCTCCCTCCCTCCCTTCCCTTTTCTCTCCTAATTCGGTAGGAGGCCAGCAGGAGCGCGCATCCCAGCTCAATTCGCTCCCCCGGCGTGGAAAGCCCGAGACCAAGGCAGCAGCAAGCCCTTACGTCCCAGCAGAGCAGGGAGGCAGAGAGCCACCAGCCGGCCACCCCGCACCACCAGTCAGTCAGCCGTGGTGTGGGGTCCCTCTGGGAAGGAGCCAGCCTCCACCGCTGGAGCCCACAGGGCTCTGAGTCAGAGTCCACATTTTTCCGAGTTATCTCATCCTCTCTGCTAACTCACATCTTACGATACTACGGGTTTACAGGCAATATTGCAAAACCAGGCAAAGTATTGGAATTTTTTTTTCCCTCCTTCTACTTTTACAAACTGAGATTCTGGAGCACGATTCTGGGTCAAGTGTAAATTCCATTTCAAAGCAACAAAACCCACAGTGACCTCCTTACACCTTTGTCATGACAAAGCATGGGGTTTCAGCAATGTGCATCTCATTCACCAGACCTCAGCAAATCGCTCAGGATAATCTCCTTATTCTCTCCACTTAAATTAAATGTCACGTTCACTCAGTCTCCTCTGTGCCATGGGATGGCAAATTCTTGTCCAAGATCTAGGGCTGTAGCACAGACCTTCAGGACAGAGAAAGAGACAGAAACAGACACGCTACCATCGTCTCACCACCCTTAACGAGATTAGCATCATTTCTAATCCACTTTGGCCTTCACTTTAGAAACCTCTAGAAATGTTTGCCATCAAAAAGAATCCTCTAAGGAAAAAGAGGTGCCCAACCATGCATGGAACCCTCACTTACACTGCCTCCCACCACCCAGTTGGTAGAACTGCTTTGCTCATGTGCCAGCAGAATGGGAATTCCCTTCAGTATAATCTACTGCTGGTCTCCCTCTTTCATCTCCATTGTAGGCCAGAAAACATCTCCTCCCCCGTGCTTGGAATATATCCACCTTTGCTCCTGTTTAGTAAAAGAAAAGCCCTAATTTCCAATGGATGTGCTTGGGCAACAAGAAATGCAGGTCTGCAAGACCTCCGATTGCTGTAAAAACATCTGAAATTAACATCTGATACAGAGTTTCAAAAGCTTCAAGAATACCATGGAAAATGTGAAAAGACCTAGCAACATTTGAGGTCTTTGTTGTCTTGGGCTATACTGAAGCCCACAAAGCAACACCTGATAATGAACAAGACTGATAAAATTAATTGGTGAATCTGTGCGACTCACCTTTCCTCAACTGAGGGCAAGAGGTTCAGGTGTTGTCTCATGGCCAAGTGAAACAAGTTTGGTGGACCTCCACTTAGCTTCTCCTATGCGCAAGTCATGGAACCACCGCCCAATTTACCATCACCATTTGGCACCCTCTACCAAGGAAAACCAAAGACTCAAACTGCAGAACATGCTGCAAAAAACACCAAGAAGCATGAGTTGAGCTGAAGGCTGGAAGCCTGAAGAACATAGAGCTCAGAGCCATGAGATCATCCCTTCCTACTTACTGCATTTATTCAAAAAGCAACATATTCAGAACAGCTCTAGATGCCAATGCTTATGAGTTCTCATGATTTCTCATGCATCACAGGCACATATGCGTTCAAACTTCATTACCATGAAGCATTCTGAAATAACTATGGGCAAATTTAACTTGTCTGCCTCTGCAGTGCCAGGGCACAGCTTACCACCTTACCACACCAGGCAAAGCTCATTGCTCCCACCTGAGCATGTCTATGCCACTTTAATATTCTCTTCTGTGTCCATCCAGATGTACATGATGGCTGATGGTTAGCTCCTATCATTCAAATCCTAAATAAACTGGAGAAGGACGTTTAAGCAGCAGGTAGCAGGTCAAGGTCACTAAAATCACACTGGTAAGAGCAGAGATGAAGAACTAACCTCTAGCTTTGAGTAAGTGGTCTACATTTACACTTTCAAATGCTTGGGTTAGTTTAACATCATAGGACACATAGAAATGGAGAGAAGAGAAAGCCACAAGTACTCCACTTTCAGCAAGTTTAAGGATTTGTTTTCCTTTTCTTTTGCTATGCCTATAATTCCCCTTTGCTACTACAGTGGAAAGAAAGCACAGCCTTCGATTTTAACATCCCATTACCTGCATTTCTGTGCTGGCTCAAGTTTAGATGGAGCAAACCTGCCAGCTGGATCAAGGCCAGAGGGAAGAAAAAAAAAAGTTTCAAGTGCAAAGAACCAATTTATCAGGAACAAATCTTAACAACCAGAAGACACACTTCTGCTGGTGGATTCTATTCATGTGCGTAATAAAAACCCCGGTACAAGGTAACCTAACAAAATACTCTTTAGTGGCTATCTGAAGTATCTCACAGTAGATAATCTTCAACCACCAGACTACGTTTCACGTTTTCTGGATAAATCTGGTGCCTGTGACAAGGAATGCTGACACTGAATAGCCAAGGACTGTGCAGAGAACATCATCTTTCACTTGGCTCCAGAAGTATTTGAGCCTGACCCACGGCCTCTGGCTTCTCCAAGACTCCACACACCGGGCCAGCAAATCTCACGTGTCCTCCAAATATAGCCCCCTCCCCCAGCAGAGGCTGCAACACGGGCTTTGCTCTGCCCCGAGCGCTGCTCTCTTTTGGACCTCCAAAGGTGAATAGCTGATGAACGAGACTTTGTTGGAGGTTTCGTGGGTGGTTTCAGAGGAGGGAGGAGGAAAATAGGTGAGGAGCCGCTCTAGGTGGCCGGCCATCCCTGGGGGACAGACTGCAGTCACACGTACAAGTCACACGCGCCCAGATAATGCAGAAAGGCACACAACACCACACTAGGTTGCAGAGCACGGCATTGCTGTCAACTTAACCCCCCTAAAAACAAAACAGAAAATTAAGAAAAGAGCCAAAAATGCAAACTAAAACACCCAAGTCTTAAACAACACAGTCCTTGGAGTTAAAGTGTCAAACAGTACCACTTATGAGCGGGAACCTCAAAGCCCTCCGCAGAGCCTCCAGGCTGCCAAGGCCTGGGACACACCAAGCCAAGGAGCCCAGCACGGAAGCAGTGTCCTTCTACAAAACCAGCACGTAAGCTCCAGTTTTGCCCAAAACCCATATAGAACAAACACCAAGGCTCTATAAAGTCACCACTGTCCTTTTGCTTACCTGGACGACTGGGTATTGGTAATCCATACAATACACACCATACATAGCCAAAGATCCTCCAGCTAAAGGCCAAGTGGACACAGGACTGGAAGCTTCAAACCCGAGTCTCCGTCTTTCAGCCTTGTGGGAAGGACTCTGGCAGCCCTGTGCAGTGCTTGGCTCGGGCCTCTGGGGCCACTCAGGTTGACACTAGCTCAGCTGAAAATAAAAAAGGAGCTGCCTGGCTCGGCTCGGCTCAGCCCCTCTCTTCTGGGATCCAGCAAGGCAGCGCTCAACCATAGGCGGCAGAGGCTCCTAAAATTAGCAATCCCCTACTGAAAACGGCCCCGCAAGCCTCAACTGAGGAGCGTCCGGAGACTCCTGGGCAGCAAACAGAGCCACTGCCAGGAAGAGGGGGACACAGGATCTTCGCAGCCACCGCCACCGGGGATGGGAGGAAGCAAACAGCATTTAGGATCTGAAAAGAGCATATGTTCTGGGCTCTAGGTGCGTCAGAGGGAACACTCCCAATCCAGGACAGGGAAAAACATATGGGACTGTTCCTCCCCCACCCCCATACCCTTCTTGCTGTCCTCGGCAGGGACAGGTGCTGGGATTAGCATAGTAAAACCCTTTGGTGTCGGGGAGGGAGGGACGGAGAGGGGAGAAGCCACATCGATATCTCGGGCTGAAGGGATCTCTTTCACGAGGGAGTATGTGCCCATATCGTTTAACGCCTCTCCCTCCCTCCGCACTTGGGGCGGGCAGGGACAGCTGCCGGAACCGGGGCTGGCGGGGGGAGCCGGGCCCCGGGACGGCCCCCACCACCTCGGCCCAAGGCCGCTGGGTTGCCCCCCTCAGCTGTTCCAGTCAAACCGGGGGGCGGAGGTGGTGGGGGATTAACTCTGCCACAGGGGACAGAGAGCAGCGGGGAGAAGGGGGCAAGGCTGGGCAGGGCCAGTTGTTGTGCCCATTTTAGGAAGCCCGTCCTCCCCGTTCCCAGGGAGGAATCTGCTCCCTGACCGACGGGGACAGATGGGGAGCTGCCCGGACGGCGGACGGCAGGCTCACCCCGCCGGGCGTGCTACCGGACACCCCAGAGCCGGCTGCTGATTCTTAGAAGACACACCGTGGCCCTAAGGGGGGGTGCTTGACCTCCCATAGCAAATCACATGAGGTTTCACCCATCACCACGCCAAACTGCACGGGCTGACTCCAGCCCAAAGCCAGGCTCCCAAAGAGTTAACAGCCCAAAACCACAAAAAATTCCCACCTTCCTCTGAAAGGACAGCGGTGATCAAATCCCTCCCTCCCAGGCTTCAAAAATAAGGATGTTACAGCCATCAAACCCAGGAAGGGCTACCCAAATTCCCCCCCACCCCATTTTAATTGCGTACAGTCAATGGGTTTGTTTATTTTTATATTTCTAAACTTTTTCTGTAGTGCTGCTGTGCACCAGTAAACAGCTACCTCCGCCTAGCTCTGGGGTAGCTGCCTTTCCATCATTACTGTTAATTTCCTCCCCCTCAGAAAGAGTTAAGCTTTGAGATAATTTTTTTTTTTTCCATTTCTTTTCAAGAGGTTAAATGCGTGGATCATTATCTAGCACCATTTTCTCGTGCGGCACTCTGCAGTATTGGTAAGGGGTGGCTAATCCCCAGCCCTCCGACCCACCGGGCCAGCTCTCGGCTCGTCCTCTGCTCCCACTGCCCTTTCTTTCCGAGACGCCTCGCAAAAGGACAGCCAGGAGCTGGGTGAGTGGTTACAGCAGCTGCCGCCCACTCTCATCATCTTTCCTAGGGCCACGGGGCCGCTTCTTCCTTACAAAAGAAGCATGGCCAATTTGGGGAGTATAAAGCATGACATTTTCTACATCTAAAAAAAAAAAAAATTAATAAAAGTTTCTATAGCCATTGTTTCTGCGTGAAGATTTGCACACAGAGAGAAATTAATTGCCCATAAATGGGAAGGCAGCTTTGCTTTTAGATCTCTTCACTAGGGAAAAAGGACGAGGCTCCCACAATGAACTTCCATCTCATTCTGCCTTTGGCCAGTCTATTTCGCCCCAGACCCAGCTTTCTGGAGCTCACATTATGCCTCCTCTCCTCCTCACCTTTGGCCACCTCTCAGCACTCCCCCTGCAAGACCCACTTTGGGGCACAGATAGTATCTGCTTTCCTCTAAACGACCAACACTTTCTTGTTTGTTTCCCCTTCTCCTTTCTGTTATTACACATTCAATAGGTGCTTGCCCTTCATTCTTTTGCACAGCTCGTTACTATACACTCAGGCAATTTAGTATCTCCAATAACATCTTTTTATGAAAAGGCATTAATTTATAAAAACCCAAAGTCTTTTCCACAGCTTGTTTTTGCTACTCCATATTACTGCCCCAGGTTTTAAAACCAAATCCCTAACTAAGTTAAAAACCTTACATTTGTTTCACAATCCAATTCTTGTCATTTCCAACCAGGCCTCAGGGGAATAAAACGTTTCCAAATCCTAGTGCAGATATCTTACTATCTATAAATAACCATCAAATGGGCAAAACAAAACAAGGAGGGAGAGCAGGGAGCATCACCTAATCTCCTCTGTTGTTTTTAACTACAGATCCAGATAGAATTGCCATGCTTTAAAAGCTTTCAATGCAGATTTTAAGTACTCTGCCTTAACCAGCATTAAGATACCTGGGTGACACTGGCAACAAAGCATCCTACCTCCTGTCCCCCACAGAAAATTAAATGACAAAAACTAGTTTTAAACTTGTATATGCCAAGATGGATGCAGCAGGAGTTTATTGACTAGTAATACACTGATTTTTCTGCAAGGCTGGCCATAATGGCTGGTTTACTACTGCACATTGACTTGCAACAAATATGAGTCAAATATAAGATGGCGCTGCACTCCATAATTTTATTTTGAGATAAAGGCCTGACTGCATTACCATATAACCTGCTATGCACATGCATTTCCAGTAACACAAGTTAGGTAACTGTGTAAAAAAAATCACAGCCTTGTTCCTGCAAATGTTTACACATCTGAATAATTTTTAAATTACAGAAATATTAAGGCTGGAAAAGACCTCCTGACAGACAGAATCAGATCAACTGTTATCATACAACATCATCTAATCTTTTCATAAAATTTATCGCGCTACATCTTAGAATGGTTTTTGCAGCTGCTACCCTGGCCAAAAGGCTGCTCTAGAACAGCCCCCCCAGCAGCTGGGATCTGTGTTCATCTCCAGTTTAACGTTATTCCTGAGCAATTTCTGTTTATTCTTTGTTCTTGTGCCAGTACCATCCTCTGGCTTAACCGTATTTTCTCCTTCCCTTACAATTAACCTCCCTCGTATCTCCTCTCTACCCATCTAAACAAGCAGCTGTTCCAGTCTTTTGTCACTTGACAGGCTTGCTATTCCCCAATCTCTAGAAGCCCTGTCTTGCACCTGATCTAGCCTGTGCTCATCTTTTTTTTTTTTTAAAGACATTATCCAGAACACTGTTAGCTCCTAATAATTTCACAATTCCAGCACTAAACTCCATCTTCTCTACCCTCATTAGTACTTTCCCCTGTAGCACCACATCAGATACTGTAGGACCTGTCTAAGAAAGACATGTCATCCCGTTAAGAAAAATGCACATTATCGAGTTAAGAAAATTGGTTATCTTAAAAACAGATAGGTTGCTATGGCACAACCCTATTTTGATGGATTTGTGTTGCCTTTTATTGCATTTTTAATCTGTGTCCAAGCCTTTAATTAATATTTTTGCGTCAACATACAGCTAAGGTTGGACCAACAGGTCTGTGTTTACTCAGATTATCCCCCACCACCAATAGGGCTATTACGCTTCCTGTCCTCCAAACATATGACAGCACTCCTGATTTGATAGATTAAAACTTGTATCAGATCTGCAGCTTCATGAACCGGTTCCTTCATTTTCAGGAACAGGTATCACCCTTCCCCAGGCAACCCTGCCCTCCAGCCCAGCCTGCACACTATAGGGTCTTTGAAGCATCCAATAAGGTTGCTTCTACAGTAGGTTCATGCCTGTTACCCATCCTGCCCTAAATCCCATGATCAACTCTACCTTCAACAACAGCAAAAAAGATTTGTTCAATTCTGTGATCACAACGAGAGTATCCTCAGTATCCCCAACACTACACGGCCCCTTCTCTCTAACTGTATTTTGAGAAACTGTCAACCCATTTCCTTAGCAACATTTGCAAGGTTTAACTGAGCCTGATTTTTGGCAGTTCTCATTTTATCCCTACTGACTTTAAAGGCGCAGCAGCCTCTGCTGATAAATTCTTTTTCTGTAAATTCTCTTTTTGCACCTAAAAGCCTTTATACGGTGATTATGCCCCCAGTTTGGATGAAGTTTCATCTTACAAGTTTTTTCCCCTTTACTTATATCATCTAGAATTTATATCCAAAGTATTTATTTAAAAAAAGCAAACACCAAAACCCAAAAAAATCCCCAAACCACACACTTCTACAGTCAAAGTCTGAGTTTCCAATCCAGTTCACAGATATTAAATATTTTCCTTCATGCATCAAAGCTTGTATTGTGATCACTCAAAGGTGGGGACATGGAGGCTTCTAAACAGCTTGTTTTCCTGTAATAGTCATAGCACCAATAATTCACTCACTGTCTCAACAACAAGTGATGATGCCACGGTGACAAAATCTTTTGACCCTATTATTGTTTGCAGCAGCATTTATTTGTTCTCCAAGCTATATCTGAGAAATTAAAGTTTCTCAACTAATATTTATCTCTCTAATGGTACTGGGAATAATATCATTTCAGAGCCTCAAGTTTGTATCCGAATCCAATCCTATGAGGGATTACAGCAGACTCACAGTACTCCCTCTGGGACCTCTTTTACCATTCTTCCCCACAGCAATTTTGACCAGAAACAGATCCTGCATTATCAGTATTACTCTTCTTTCTTCTTTACAGTCTACTGCATACAACACAGCCTATCCCCTTTTAAATCTACCCTATCTGAACCACACATAATCTTGAATGCATGTTAAAGTCATGATTACTATTCTTGCAGATTGATATTATCCCTATAATATCCAGTTTCATGTTCTGCACCAGTAGCTCTGGTTCCGCTACTTGTTATTTCTAATGCCAGGAACCTGAAAAAAAAAAACTGATATGTTTGTGCATTTACCAATCACACAACTCCCAGCTTCCTCAACTAAAAGTATCATCCATCTAGGTATTGCTGAATTTTATTATTCTTCTTGTAACATTGAACTTTATTCTTTTCTATCTCCTACCTACCCATT